TACTTTGGAAGCAAATGGCAACCTCGTCACTATATTCTATGCATACATAAGATATAAAGTTAAAAGAAGATTCTTGATCAGATGCAATTTTAGTATTGTCTAATGTTCCTCATTGACTTGAGAAGGTGGTTGAAGCAGGATAGAAACGAATCAAGAAAACGAAAAAAAAAATGCTCAATAGTGGCTCCCATTTGACATTGTTAAAATTAGACAGAGCCAAATGATTCGGATTATTTAATAATTTGGCTCATCAGATCCTCAACAGTACAACCTGGCAACCATTTAAATAACTGTTAAAATGAAATGGCATTTCCAAATTTCCAAGCCTTTTGAAGGAGTAAAACACATTATCGAGATTCCTCTGAAGCACATCTTAATTCACCACTAATGGCTGAAGCAAGCATCGGTAACAGCCCGAAAAGGTATTTAACTCCTAATACCTGTGAGCTTAGTGCATATCGGGTTTGTCTTGAAAACTAATTACACAGTCATATTTAATAGTCATCCCACAGTTTTTAATTTTTTGACCCTTTTTTTCTGTTTACATTGAAGATGTGCAGTTGTAACAGGAGCAAACAGAGGGATTGGACTGGAGATATGCAGGCAGTTAGCTTCTCAGGGGATCACTGTGGTGTTGACTGCTAGAGATGAGAAGAGGGGGCTTGATGCTCTTCATAGGCTCAGAGATTCTGGTGGTCTTTCTGGTAATCTGCTCTTCCATCAGCTTGATGTGGGGGATTCATCTAGTGTTGCTTCGCTTGCTGAGTTCATCAACACTGAGCTTGGAAGGCTTGATATCTTGGTATGATCAGAAATTTACATACTTGATGTCAAATTTTACTTTTGAATGTAAATAGGTAGGAATTGTGGGAAATCTAGTTCATTTTCCAAAGTTTCTTGCAAGATTTTTAACTTAATTTGCTTCATTTGAAGTGTGAAGTACTATTAGACATTGGAACCTTGTTCCTATTATTTGAGATAACCTGTGACAATTACTAAACATTTACAAATTGAAAAAGGGCACAACTAAAAATTTCTCTATATGCCACAATCATATATCCTTGTTTCAATTGTAATTTTGTTGTTTCAGGTGAACAATGCAGGGATTGGTGGAGCTCTCGTAGACGAGGCTGCTGCTGTAAGTTTTTGTGTAACATAAGTTGGTGCTGAACCAGTACACAATTTGAGGGTAGAAATAAGAGAAATAAACTGAAAATATTGTTCATGGCGTTCAGAATTAAAAAAAAAAAAAAAGATCAAACAAGTAGATGAGCAGACAGGAAATATTTACTAAGGCTACTGGTTATTTGGCTAGCTTCCCATTAATTTCTTGATAGCAGCAGGTAAGTCGCATTATTGGGAAGAATCAACTAAACCAGAAATTGAAGTGTTGAACTTCTGAAGACTTTGCCTCTCTGTTAACTTTTCACATCTCATGCTCTTTTCCTGCATTCCTGTTCTAAAGTGATACTTTTTTGAAGAGGATGCTTGCAGGTAATGAGGGCGGGTCTGTGGGTTTCATACACTAATTCCGTTTAGTAAGTCTCCAATTTGACGCTTCTATGTTTATGTAGGCTTGTATGTTTTCATCAATGTAGGCAGCAGGAACTGAAATTAACTTTGAAGAGATAGCAACCCAGACATATGAGTTGGCAGTTGAATGCTTGCAAACGAACTATTATGGTGCAAAAAGAATGGTTGAAGCCTGTGTTCCTCTTCTCCAATTATCTGAATCACCAAGGATTGTCAGTGTTTCCTCATCCATGGGAAAGTTAGAGGTACAGAACTTGGCAATATACTTGCTCATGTATATGGACATTTATTCCAAATAGGAGGGAGCATGTATTTTGAGAAAGTAAGATGAAAGTACTCCCCGTAGATTCATTTGCAAATAAGTAGCTGATATCATCAGTATAGCATTTATCATCTGTATGGATTTCAACAGTGACTGAATATAACTCTCAGAACGATCGTAAGTCAGAATATTTGAGTCTCCTCGGTCAAAGACTCAATGTTCTTTGAACTCTAAACTGAGTTTACAGTAAGAATTGGTTTAATTTTCTGAACGTAACACAGTATTATCATATAGAATCTTGTTGTAGTTCTAGTTTATCGGCATTCTAACTCCTATATGCATTTCATACCATGTTTCAGTGTATAAAAAATGGATGGGCTAAAAGAACATTAGGCGATGCTGAAAACCTTACAGAAGAGAGGGTTGATAAAGTGGTCAAGGAATTTCTGCAAGACTTCAATGAGGGTTACCAAGAAGCCAAAGGCTGGCCTTTAGCTTATGTCATCTCGAAAGCAGCCTTGAATGCATATACAAGAATTCTGGCCAAGAGATTCCCAGATTTCAAGGTGAATTGTGTGTGTCCTGGCTTTGTCAAAACAGATATAAATTACAATACTGGAACTTTGCCTGTAGAAGAAGGTGCTGAAAGTCCTGTGAAGCTAGCTCTGCTGTCCAATGATGGACCCTCTGGCTTGTTCTTTTCGAGTAACCAAGTCACATCTTTTGAATGAAAATGAATCCTTTAGAAACAGTTGTTGTGGTCAAAGATTAAATTGTAGACATGCACTTTCTAGGCATACTAGTTCCATGTTATTTTCGAAGATGAAGACTATGATTTGCTCTGTTAAATTTGAGACACTCCTTACCTAAGTATAAACAGTTATTTCCTGGTTTATGCAAAAGATGTTTAATACCTTCTGTTCGCGACTTCATGTATGATATGCAGGTTTGTATAATCAAGTTTATTTCTCTGGATATGAACATACTGCTAATGAATTGTAATAGGGCATGTCGAGTGATTTCCCCTATTATGACAACTCATCTTTAGGCCGAAGTGCTATATCAATTTGCCAGAAGAACAAGATGATATTATGCTAAACTCGCATGTGTAGATGCAGTTTAGCATGGCTAAAACTTGGCTGACTTTTAATGATGCCTAAATAATTAACCAAGAACAATCAAGGGCTTTCTTCTAAATGTCATGCACTACTTGATGGCAGCATCATTTACACTTCAATTGTTTCCGAGATGCGATTCTCATTGTCTAGTTATCTTGGTTTACTGGAGAAGGGTATCTAAAAAACGATAGATGGAGGTAGCACGGCAAATTTTATACGCATTTAAACTCTGGACTTGCAGTGTGAAGTTCTCTGTAAAAGGATTTTCAGAGGCAAAAATTTGATTTATGAAGAATCTTTTCAAAACTTTCCATTCTTTAAAGGGGAAATACTAACCACAACCCCTCTCCGAGTTCAGTCGTCCTGGTGAGTAGTGATTAGTGAACCAGTGAAATAACCAGCCAGCTTGCAACCAAGGGAATCAAAAGATTATCCTACATTTTGCATTTGAAGAAGAGACAAACATAAGCAACGGCAGATGCATCACAACTAAAAAGTAATTTAACGAAAGTTAGAAGATGGTCGGCTCGGCTGTCAACCATTTATGTGTAGAATTATAGTACATGCGTATAATATGCTGCAATACTTCCATGCCTGCCTGCAATAGCTAGCTTCTGGCAACCGAAGAATCAAAATAAATTAAGAACTCCGGCTTCCTGTAAAAGCTCATCACCTATTAATGCCATATATTTCCCATGCATACGTGCTAGTACTTGGCAATTCAACAGTCATAACACTGAACTCCTGACTCTCCCTACAAAACACCTTTGCCACCATTATCTAGCACACATTCATGGCATGCAGTAGCAACCAACGGCAATGCACAAAAGATGCCAACTGTCTGCATGTCTCATTTCCTATCCCTTTTGTTTGCTCCAGTCACAACTGCATATCTACCCAGAATAAGATCGGATAACAAAGACATGCATGATCTCCCTTGTTGACTGCTACAGATGAGAAGAGAAGCTCAAACAGTCTGATGGCTATTCTGATAATGATTTGCTCTTTCATCAGCTTGAAGTGGCAGATTCTTCTAGCGTTGCTTCCCTTGCAGATTTGTCAGGATTCAGTTTTAGGGGGCTTGATATCTTGGTAGTGTTGGAACATTCACAAATTCAGTTCATTTCCGATGGTTTTCTCCAATTCGATTGTTTCCCTTTATTTTTAATTGTTAATCTGGTACTTCTCCTAATTTCGTCTTTTAACGTACCAGAAATTTGGAACGTCACGTATTAAGGATCCGCTCATAAACAAAACAAGTGCATAAATATTGGACTGTAGCATCCAATAAAATTTTCATTGTTTGTTCCACTTTTTTTAACAGTTGTTTTTTTTTTTTCCAATTGTTACTTTAACATTCTCCTTGTTTATTTATAATCTTTTTTTCCTTTAATAATGATTTCAGGTGAATAGTAAAGGGATTCATGGATCCATTGTGGATGGTAAAACTTTAAATTTGTGCAGTTTCTTGAAGAATCTAGTTGCAATTAGCAAGGATTTTTAGGGCCACGATTAAAACAACTGTCAAGTTAGTTGACACAAAATCCTATTTTAGCACCATTAAATTCTCTTACAGCATTCCAAGATTGCCTAGTCAACAGATTGCTCAATTTTATAAGAATATGGGTTTATAATATAAGTACATTGTCATGCTAGCTTTTCACATACTCTTAAGACTTTTTTTTAAAAAAAAAATTTTGGTTTTTTTTTTTTTTGTGTGGGGTAGGGGAAGGTTTGGAGTGAGGCTGGTTTGGCCTTTGGATCATAATACACTTTTATTTTAGCTTCTTGACAATCTTTTCTTTTCCTCACTTCGGAGTCAGGTGGGATTTGTTTACCATTAAGCTACATAGAAAAGAGAGAGAATTCAAAAACCACATTGTCAAATTACATAATATTCCACCAATAAATCAAACTGAAATAATTATGCAACCTGCAAATAGTAGTGTTTAAGCATATCCTTCTGCCTGATTTTCTTGTTCCCTTCTTTGAGTTTGAGAGCGTAATTTGATAGGAAAAGTATTACACTTAAACCGAATAAAGATGGTCAAATAGTAAAAACATATGATTCCAAGTCTGTCTAGATCTTTAGCACAGGTATGACTAAATTAGTTGAGAAGAGAAGATCTTGACAAGATTAATTGTTGCATGACGAACAATGAAGCTCATATATGATTTATTCATCAAAACAAAGGATTCAAAACATCATTCTTTGGTGATTTTGTAGTCTAAGTTGCATGAAAAATATCACAGTGTTGCATAGATTTATGGCCCGGTAGGGATGATCTCACATGAATGCAAAGAGATGAGAAGGATTATCTCTATCCAAGAGGTGATATTTCACTGCGAATGAAGAACAAGCCAGAAGGACCATCATCAGGCAGCAGAGCCAGCCTCACAATACTGTCAGCACCTTCTTCTGCAGTCAATGTGCCGGATTCGAAGTTTATATCCGTTTTGACAAAACCAGGACAGACAGTATTGATCTTGATGTGGGGATGCTTCTTTGCGACAACAATTGTGTATGCATTCATGGCTGCTTTCGAGACTGTATAAGAAGACAGGAATGAAGGCCAGCCTTTGGCTTCTCTGGAACCTTCTTTTAAGTCTTTCAGGTACTGATTGAGCACCTCATCCACTCTCTCTTCTGTAAGGTTGTCGACATCAGTGAATATCCCTCTGGCCCATTCACTGGGTATATTCTGAAGCAAATCGAGCAAACTTTATGTAAGCTGCTTATGGGATTTACAGTTTTCCCTATGAAATGGATACAGAGTTAAAATTGGGAACCAGGGTGGCTTCAGAACAGAGTTAAAATCCTGAGGTCATCAGAGAACTCGATGCATGGAGCCAGAATTATGTCCAAGGCATCTGTATGCTGTTAAGCAGCATCGTTGGTTCTTTTAAATTTTTGTGCCAAGTTTACTACCCTGCACACAACAATGAAGAATCTACGTACTCGAAGAAATACAATTACAAGAAGATATGTACCTTTAGCTTTCCCGCGCCTGAGGAAACGTTGACAACTCTTGGTGATTGAGATAATTGGAGAAGAGGAACAAAGGCTTCAATCATTCTTTTGGCACCATAATAGTTTGTTTGGAAGCATTGTACTGCCAATTCATGAGTCTCTTTGATCGAACTGCTCCAGTCAGCTTTATTAGCTCGTTCCTGCATTGGGCAAAACGAAGGAAAACGTTCATGTATTACAAGGACACCTATAAAAGGGCAGGTTTATTGACACATTGAAAGCTATAAAAATCATATTTTGCAACTAATTCCTGAGAATCTTAACTAGCAAGATGAGACAGGAAAAGAAAAGGACAAAGAACATGATCTCCAGAAGGAGGAAAAAGCAGGAGATTTTGGGAAATTGAAAGAGGACCAGAATCTTGATGATTTAAAGGTAAAATCCAAGTTTACCTCTTCAACAGCACCAGCTGCAATCGCAGCTTTAAAAGCATCAGAGTCTATATCAGCTCCAATAATTCCTGCATTATTCACCTGATCGATAAAACAAAAGAAAAGCCATGCATGAGCAGTTACAACTTACAAGATGCTGAATTTGGCATTGGGTGAAATTATCTACTTATGCCCATCTTGTCACCAAAGGGGAATCAGGTTTTACAGAAAATCAAAAAGTCAGATATTGGAATTGGAGTTAGTCTGTCATACCAAGATATCAAGCCTTCCAAACTGAGTCTTGATGAATTGAGCAAGGGAAGCAACGCTAGACGAATCTGCCACATCAAGCTGATGAAATAGCAAATGATCAGCAGAAAGACCATCAGAGAATTTGAGCTTGTGAAGAGCATCGAGTCCCCTCTTCTCATCCCTGGCAGTCAGAACCACGGTGATTCCTTTAGAAGCTAAGTGCCTGCATACCTCAAATCCTATCCCTTTGTTTGCCCCGGTCACAATTGCATACCTGCCCCAAAAACAGAGCAAAAATGCCAAAAAATAGAGGCCTCATCAAAATACTTTGGCCAGGAAAATTAATTGAAAGCCAGACGTTAAATGTAAACACGTCGAAGTACCTCTTTGCTTCTGCCATGGCTGGTACGAGGAATCTAGATTTTTTTTTTTCCTTTTTTTTTTTTTTTTTTTTTGGCTAACGAGTTCCTGTAATTAAGCCTCTACTCCACAAGCATCTGTATATATAGTATAGTATATACCCTCAAGCGCGGGAGTAGGGTGAAATCCACACCTCAGTCTAAATTCACGCCCCTAGCTTTAAAATGACAATAAAGCCCATTTTAACTTTATAAAAACTTATTTCAATATAAAACTTGTCTTTCTCGTGTTTAAAAAAATCAATTACAAGTTTTAATTAATTGAAATTATTTGATACCATCATCCTTATTATACATTGATCCGTTAGTATTTTCTAAAATTATACTTCAATCAACTTTGAAGTGCAATGTGCCGAAAAGATAAAAACATTTTCTTAACACAATTCTAAAAAAATATCTCATCTCCTCTTGCATGATAAAAAGAGATAAAAAAAAAACCAATTAAAAGGAAAAAACAAATGCCATCAAAACGAATGTGAAAAGTCAAAAATTTTAAGATCATTCATAATGATGTAAAATTTAAATCCAAATTAACACCATTTGCTTTCACAAAAAAAGGCTAATTTTTTATTTAAAGAGTTTCTACTAAAGTTCGGTTAATGCTATGGCTCTTTGGTCAATTTGGTTATAAAGGTATGGATTTAGATTGTGAAGGTGTGGATTTAGCTCTATCCATTTTTTTTTTTCACGAATACAGCTAATGAAGACCTATACAAGGACACAATGCTATTCAACTACAACTGAAGTTCAAGTTGAACTAAAAAGCTTAAAAGAGTGATTCAAGGGCTTGAACTTAAAGATACAACACTTTATACTCTTTATTCAAGTCATTGAGTCTAGTGATGGTGGTTGAAGTGCAATCGGGTTCATGTCTTGACATGTGATCCGAATCTATTTTGTGTTTTAAATTCTTTATGTCGTTTGTTTATTTTATTTCCAGCCATGATCAGTTGATTAATTAGAGTTAGTTAGGAGTTAATTAAGTTGTTAATTTAATGGAATAAAACGGCTAAGGTCATGTTGACCATAGTTGGAGCCGATTTAGGATTTTTAGAAACTAGTTACGTGAGTTCTAGTTTAATTAGGATTTTTGAATCTTATAAAGGCTATAAATAAGTCTTAAGCCATAAATGCTATTTCTTACGAGGTAATAAAGGAATTTTTCCAACAATACTCCAACTCTCTTGTCTAAGAAATCCAATTTGAATACTTGAGAGATTCTCAAGTGTTCATCGACTTATCAACCAAAAAATGCACTTGGCTGTGACGTTTTCTACCTTTAAACTCTAATTTACTAAATTATTAGGTTGTGGGCTAAGATTCATCTTGGTTCATAATCTTATGGTTTAGAATGGTCAAGGGTTATTCTGCAAGTTCAACTAAATTCTTCGTCTAGATCCGAGATTGTGTGGGATACGAGTTCAATCCATCTTGGTGGGTTCGTATCAACAACGATACAATCTATTTACTATTATAATGTAATTGTAACAAATAATATAGCAAATACAACAATCACATTAACATGACGAAATTACAATAGTCTTTCCCACACAGCATGAGGACATCATAGGGTAACACAAAGCAAAGTCTGGTAGTATTAATTATAAGTTTGACACATATTAGCTCAGTTGTTAAGTATAGTTGTTGATGTAAGAATTGCGTTTGATCGATAATATTAATTACCTTCATATTTTCATAATTTGCCTCTCGACACATATCTTGATCCGTGATGGTCATCTGTATCGATACAATGCAAACTTCTGGTTTAAAAAAATAACATACTTATTACAAGTTTTGTTTTGTTTTTTTGTCGAACATGATAGATTTTATTCTATACTTATTTCTATTCTATATTAGGGGGAGGGGGTGATCCAAAGGGTTCAAAGGGAAAATTCGAAAGCGATTGAACCATTACCAGTTTAGATAAGTGCCTACGTACTCACTGACGAAATTTTTCTAAAAAATCCTGAATTTTTAGAATGCAAGTCAAGAAATTTGATTTCTTGACCCACACTCAAATAGAATTTTAAATCTCCCGTTGGTTTAAACCTCTGGAATTTGATTTCTTGATAGCTAACTATTAGGACTAGTTGGTTTATTGCAAGAAGCGTCATGGCTCGCGTCAGCACTGTATACGTTTGTAAAATCATTTTTACAGCGCCAAATTCCAAATTTCGCACAGACTAATGGCGATGGCGTCATGGCGCTAGTTAGCACTTTCCCGAGGATACGTTTGTAAAATCATTTTTACAGCGCCAAACTCCAAATTTCGCACGGACTCTACTGGTGGAAGGTCAATACCAGTGAACGATGGTATCCAGAATCCAACTTTTCAATGGTCCATCCAAAACCATCAAACGCTGGCGGCCACCGTCAAGACTGGGATGAAAGGTCAAGATTTCAAATCTTGTCTCTCATCAATTATCACAATAAGTGATTTTTTTAAAAAATTCAGTGTATTCGTATGATTCGGTGGTAGTTCAGTTTTCATCGATTCCTCGTAGGTTCAGTTGAGCCTCATCCTATGTAGATTAAGATAGAGTAGTATATAGATAAAGCAACGATGATAAAAATAAATAAATAAATAAAGCAATAATGAAAAAAAAAAAAAATGATCCATCTAATGATTTTTTCTTCCCTGTCTCGGACCCGTCTAAATATCCACCTCAACTTTTTGTTGTTTGTACTCCACAAAGTTTTGATCTGTACACTGGACACTTTGTTTGGTCCAGAAGCTCCCAAAACTCCAGCCAATAATGCAAACTGAGAGTGACATATACATATCAGTCCGGAAATGTGCTGAAGCAAACTCAGAGCCCACCCCAGAGGAAATTGGATTGTTATTCTTGCATATCCTGAAGATTCTTGTCCAGTAAAAATCTTTGGCTTAAACTGCCCATTTCTGCACCACGCATTTTATCTGCGGAAGATACTTGTCTTTATCAGTAATTAGTAGCCATGTCTCATCATAAATCAGACAGAAAGGTTTACAAATTGGTCACGTATCCTTCCTACAGGCAAAGTCAAGAGAAGTCTGCTAAAGCCATAATTATTACGTAAACAGTCTTTGAGTCGCTAGAAAGGTGAGACAATTTTCTGGGAGAAGAACAATCCCGATGGCTTTTCCCCGGGGGGCAACAGGGCCAGCCATACGGGACTTTCTGCACCTTCTTCTGAGGATAAGACGCCTCTATGGTAATTCATATCAGTTTTAACATAGCCTGGGCAGACACAGTTGATCATCCACTCAGGATACTTCTTAGCCACAATCCTCGTGTAGGCATTTAAGGCAGCTTTTGATAATGTATAAGCAGACAGAAAAGAAGGCCAGCCTTTGGCATTCAGAAAACCCTCTTTGAAATCTTTCAGAAACTCATTCAGTACTTCATCAATCCTGTCTTCAGTAAGGCAATCTGCATCGCTTAGTATTGTTTGTGCCCAATTATTCGCTACGAACTGCACCACAAAAAGAAAAAAGAAAACACAGTTACATTAATCTTGGACTGGAGCAAAATGTTTGCTTTTACAAGTTAGGTTGATTACCTTTAGCTTCCCAGATGAGGAGGAAACGTTAACAACTCTTCCTGAATCAGACAATTTGAGAAGGGGGGCAAATGCTTCAGTTGTGCTTTTTGGTCCGTAGTAGTTTGTTTTTAAGCATTCTTCCGCCAAATCATGAGCTTGAGTCGAAACCTCATTCCAATTAATGTATCCTCCTGGCTGCATATACGGGTCGGCAACAAAGTTGTAGTTACTTATTTGCTCTTTGAAAAATAGCCAACAGGTTCAGGCTTCCAAAGACATTGCATGGCATTTGATATTAGCATAAGACTATAGAGGAATACACTAGCGTCTAAACTTTGTAGCAGAGAAATAACTATTCAAAGGTCGGCTCACCACGTGATCAGCCAAAGAATCAAGAGCATTGCTATCCACTTTAACACCAAGAACAGCTGCATTGTTTACCTGCACAATTTTTCTTTTTCACTTTGGTTATGTTCTATAGAATTAATTTCAATAATTTTAATGCACAAATCCTTCCATAAGAACATAATGGGATCATTGAATACGTCAAATCCTCCTATAATGGCCCTCCAACATCACTGCTATCCCCAAATCCTCCAAAATTGCCTGTGCTTCAAGGATTCAGAGCAGCTAAATTTGTCACCTTACACAATATTTCTAAGAAACATGAAATATCCATGCATGCAGCACAAATGATAATACGCAAAGCTCTATTAATCCCCTCTGATTAGGTTAGATCATGGTCGATCACACCTTAGACAAGTAACATGCAAATGTTGGTTTAGATTTTTTAAAAACAGTTTAAGATGATTGATTGTGCATAAGCGAAAGACAGAATTTCCCAGAATGCTTGAAAATTTTGAAGCATCTGTGCTACTGCGGACATTTTTGGTACAAGAAATAATGAAAATGCGTCAGAACAATGCCTGAATATTCCCTGAAGTCCTTTCACTTCTTTTATATTAGCCCTCATTCTACGTCTGACGATCATTCAGCCCATTGATCAACTTCCTTAAGTAGTTTCATCTCCTTTCCCCTGGAGTTGGCTTAAGCCCATGTGTATAAATCAAAATTCTAGTATTGTATCTGCTGAACTCCTGACCATAATCTGAAATACAATAACTTTCAAAGATACTCCATCCATCGGGTTGAGCTTTAAAATGGAGCAATTGAGTGCTGTGTCATATTTATTTTGTCACATGAGAACAGGGGAATGATATCACATAAACAGATTCAAGTAAAACATGAAAAAAAATTAAAGAAAGAGATAAAACAAGCATGCTTAGCTTAACTCTTCAATCAAATGCACTATTACACAAGCATGAAGGTATATCTGGAGTATAACCAATTTACCATAAGTAACTAAGTCAGAAAAATGCGCAAGTTTAGTTTTAAAAAAAAATCCCAGTTTTGAACCAACAAATCTAATATAAGGTGCTTGGAAGCTCAGAAAAGAGAGAAAATACTGCAAAATATACCAATATGTCAAGTTTCCCAAATCGGGTCTTGATAAAGTCTGCCAGGGAAGCTATACTTGAAGGGTCCGCCACATCAAGCTGATGAAAAATGACATTATCACAAGATGCCGTGGCCTGGAGACTTTGAACAGCTTCAATACCCTTTTTCGGGTCTCTAGCGGTTAAAACCACCATCACCCCTTTGGAAGCTAATTGCCTACATATCTCTAATCCTATCCCCTTGTTCGCTCCTGTAACAACTGCAACCCTGATAGAAAACCAACAAAACCAGATTGGTCAAAAACTTCCAGTAGCATTCATAAAAACATGCAAACAGACAAAATATGAACTTTTCTGAAAGATATATAAATTCTTGAAAAAGGAGATACTGGAAACCAGGAAAGATATGCAAACTTGGCTGAAAGATACTGGTAACCAGGAAACATAAGGTGGTACCTCTTTGCTGAAAGAAAAAGGGCTGATTCTGCCATCCTGTACAAGGACTGAGAGTCTTGGGTGGTGCGTGCGTCTGGGACAGGTGTTTGAAGTCGATGACATTTGATTACTCATTCCCACGACTCCACTCAGACTATGTTTGGAATCTTTTCTGCGTTTGGAAATTTGTGAAGGGAAAAAGTTAACTATAAACAATTCTGTTTATGAGATACAGGACAGAGTGAGTACTTGCTGGTCACCAAAATCGTTACTCGTATCGAAGTTCTTACTGAGTAAAACCCATCCTTCGACCTGCATCAACAGGTAAATGGAGAGCAAGATATCTTGATTTTCAGTTTTCATCAAATTGGGTCTCGTGGATTTTTGGGTTTGCAGATTTTTTTGCCTAGCCTGGTTAAGAACAGCCTCTTAAAGCAGGCAACTGGTGCACTCTATGAATTATAATCGAGAGAGCAAGTGAAACATCATTATAATTTCTCAATTAGAAAAGAAAAAAAATGTTAACACCATGAAACTTATAAATCACCGGAGTACTGATCATTTCGTCGTTCAAGTTTCAACCATAAAATACATGCAGAAAACAACAAAAAGCATCTTAAATTTTCTTGAGGTATGTCAAGAGATAATTTATTCTATCGCATGTGATCATTAAAAAACTTGAAAAGTACAAAGTTATAAAAAAAATGCTAATAAATAATTAGAGATATAATAATTTTTTCGATGACCTTGACAACTAGCAGATGCATCCTAGTCGCCACCATCTAATCAGTGTAATTCTCTACCAACATATATTTGAGCTTTCAAAAAATTGAGTATGCAATTATATATAGACCTCTAGATTTACACCTGTTGCAAAATATTCAAGTTACTAAATTGTTGGATGCCTCATTCTGTTGGAGACAAAGCTTCGGCACAAGTTTTTTGAAGGGAACAGATTTTAGATTTAAATACTTGGACCCTTATAGGATGTTACAAGTGTTTTAATACAGATAATGATTATTTAAAAAAAAAAAAAAAGAGTCATCTAGTCACATAAATTGATAAATTACTTGTTAAATCTTCTTGAATCCTTTCAAGAAATTTATTCATGTTTCAAACGCTACAATAAATCATTTCAGAAATTAATTCCAAATAAATATATTCATCCTTCAATCATTATAATTTAAATCATTGAAAATTGAAAACACCCAATTCTGAATTCAGCCATTCCAAATTCTTCCCACAACTTAATTAACACCATGTTCAAATTAACTGTATGGTTGCAGCCACCGATCACCATCCATGAAAGAAATATTCAGAAAAGGTGTAGCTTGTGTGTCATCGAGCTTTTGGGCATAAGGCACCCTTAGTGTTGTATTAGCTCCATTGCCAGAACAATTGTACTCCCCATAGAAAACAGTCCTGCATGCATGTATACATACGGCATATTAATTTCTTGGTTAATCATAGATCGATTCAACAGCAAAAATTACTTAAAGAAGGTCGCAAAATGAATAATGGTAATCAAATCCCTCTCCTCCTTCTTCCTCGTTTCTTAAATCTCACCCCTTCCCTGCACCCAAAAAAAAAAAGAAAAGAAAAAAGGGTAATGGCAGCAGCAGCTAGCCCCTTACGTACTGGTCTCTGGAAGGATCATTGAAGTCATTCCATCCCTCAGAAGCAATGATGTCAGACATAGAAGTGTAAGCAAACACAACAGTGGAGAAGGGCCTCCACGCTCGTCCCAGCCAGATTCTTCCTGTTCCTCCAATGCTGCAATTCACGAAAGCATAGCCACTGTTTTCGTCCTTGGAAGCTCGCCCATGCGCCGTCACTGCTCCGGTTATCGCCCTTGCTCCTACTGCTACTGGGTTCGCTATTGAGGTTAACTGGCAATTCTGGTTGATTATGCTCAGCAGTTAGCTAGGAAGGTGAACTTTTTTAAACGATTACTAGATCTCTTGATTCCAGATGTATGTATTAAACGTTTTGCTTGCTCTGTCTGTCTCATTATGAATGATATCCAGTTTTGTAGACAAAGAAAATGCCTGAGCCATAGAATGTTCCTGTTAAAATGCTTTACGTACACAAAATATAAAAAGTGGTACTAGATTTTCTAAATTTTACATATAAATATTAGTTTGATGTAATGTCCAGAACGTTTAACATAGGTGAAAAAGGTTTCACACTGAATTCATGGTGACTTAGTTTATCTTTGAAAAAGAATTTTTCCCAAGCATGGTATGCTATTGACATTTAACATGGCAAATCACAAACTTTAATTTGCACACTTGGTAGTCATAAGCTAGAAAAAATTTTCAGTGAGGACACAATTAAAAATAAAGTTCTTTTAGTTCTATATATAATTAGTATTGAGTAATAACAATACATACAAAGTAAGTGAATATCAAATAATGACCTATATAGCCGCAAGATGAGACGAGGAAATAAGGAACCCACTACCCACTAATGTTTTATTATAATTAACCCCTTTTTCTTGTTTTGTTGTAACTCATTACCTTTAAATTTTTCCTTGTATATAAAAAAAAAACTCACTAGTAAAGTAAACTAAGTGTTTTAGAGTATTGATTTAATTTGTATATGCAATCGTCGTTAAAGCGATCAATTATGTCCAATTATTTAATTCTTTTATTAAAAATTGTTACCCAACCCCTCGTGTGCACATCCTTAAGTTGAATTTCTACCAATATCAAGGTAAGAACAAGATTTTTTTTGACAAGCCAATATTCAAATATACATTTTTCATTGATCATTGGTGCAAAACTCAAAATTTAGTAAGGAAAAAATAAGAATTTTTCAAAATCTCAATGCCTAGAAATGCAATTTGTTTTTGGTTTAGCGGTAGCACGTGCCCACACTGAACATTGAGTAAATCCACCCCTGGTCACAAGGTTTATTTATGTACAAGTTCTAAACCAGATTCACCCCCATAATTTACCTTTTAATACAATTTGTTCAAGCCATTTTACAGAAGTTGACCAAAAAAAAAAAAAAGAGACAAGTAAGTTAGTAATTTGTGGTAGTCCTTGCACATTGCAATATGCATCTACCATCGTGCATGAATGATAAAAAAACAATCAATTCGAGATGGTGGTCACAATTATTACCTCATAAAATGATTTCCCATTGCCAAAGACGAAATCAATGGAGCCTTGTATGTAACATTCTTTAAAATAGTGGCGGCCTCGGTCATCATGCAGGGTGTCCTGCGCTCCAAAGAACCCACAACCCCAGAAGGCCGCTTGGTCTCCCGCTATTCTCATCGCTACTGCTTGTGCTCCCACTGCTCCCGGACCAGGTATAGGGGCCACGTTCTATATCTCGTATGATAATGCTATTAGGATTAGGAACCTTGCCTAAACTAGGTACTTTAAATAGTCGTAGTAATTGTCACCGTACTTACATTTTATTTAGGGAAAATTACACTTTATCCCCTGTAGATTTGTATTTTTTAATAACCTTCCTATGATGTCAAAAGCTGTACATAACTCTCTCATGGTTTAGATTAAAGTGTCAAAGTGACGAAAATAGTTATTCATTACAGAACTTTTAAAAATGTCGAAATTACCCTTATAAATACATAACACACGGACTCCGTATGATTTTTATATTTTACTATATAACCCCCTTATGATTTAATGCATTACCATATAACCTCCTTATGGTTTTTAAAATATACACGTAACCCCTCTTGATTAATAAATAATTTCAGCTTTACATAAGGGTATTTTTGACATTTTAAATGACTCCGTTACGAATGATCATTTCCGTCACTTTGACAGTTTAATCCAAACTATGAGAGGATTATGTATAGTTTTTGAAACCATATGAGGGTTATGTCAAAAAATACTAAACCACAGGAGGGTAAAGTGTAATTTGCCCTTTTATTTATGCAGAAGTATATATTAACTTTTTTGTATAATAGGGCATTAGGTAAATAAGTGTTACATTATATAAATGAGAGGAGTGGGAACTATGCAATGAAATTATATATAGTGATTGAGGAAATTACTGACCATGAAACTTATGTTCTTGGCTATGAAGTTGGCAGCAAAAACTTGAACGGAGCCGCTGTAAAATGTGCCATGCGAAGAATTGGCTGTATCATTCCACACAATTGCCGTGGACGTAAAGCCTTGTCCTTGAAAGGAGATGTTTGGTTTTGCTTTCGGAATGATAACTTTCTCGCTGGACTTGAGAATGGATCGTGCGATCAGTATTTGAGTTCCAGGAAAAAATAGTTTTGATTTTCTTTAGGGTAATTTACTAATAACCCAATTTTACTTTTGCATATTCCCACATGACCCTATAATGTTTCAAGATACCTACGTAACACCTTCTATGATCTTATGTAAATTGGAAAAATGGACGAAAAGTACATTTGATGATGGCAATTGACACAAATGAGCTCCAAAAATGTGAAACTATAATATCTACTACATAGCCCCTTATAATTTTACATAAATAGCCACTTAACTCCCGTATGATTTTACATATACCCACATAATTAATTTCCCGATGAATTTATTCAAAGTAGTCAGTAAAATTAAGTAAGAGTAATATTGACATTTCAACTAACGACGTTAGAAAAGTAGCTTTCCATCAAATTTCTGCGGTATATAAAACCAAGGGGGTTTATGTGGATGGTTAAAAATGTTAGTGGCTCATAGAATAATAGGTGAAACTACAAAGGGGTTACTAGTAATATATCCTTTCTTTTATTGGAGCCAAACCAGGGTTTGCTTATAGCTAGGCTTATCACTTATTTGAGCTCAATTAGATAATCGTCTAATTGAGTATTGTTTATAGGCCTTGGGGCTAACGTGTGCAATAATAGCAAATGTATACAAGTATTGAAACAAATACGTGAAGCTGTTTTGAAGGCAAATATTGAAACTAATAGGACCTTCAACATTCATTCGACTAAAAGTATATATCTTCATTCCTACAACTATAAGAATTTAAGTTTTAAAACAACCTCTCTTGATCAATATATTTTAAAACACTTGTTAATTCAAGAAGTTATGTAATATGATGCAATAGGGAGAAGTGCAACAGAAGACCCCCAAACGCATATAA